AGTGCTATAGTGTGTTTTGCAGTGCAAAGATTGACTCAATCCCATTTTTTATTAAACCAGACAAAAAAAACATGCTTGGTAGCTCTCAGGTTGCTAACTGGATATTGTGATATTTAATGTATGGTGTGCTTAGTTTTGTGTCAACTCAGCCAACAAGATTGCTTTGGCAGATGCACTTTCACAAGGCATCTATAAAAGCAGGGAGTGGGAAGATTTTGAACTTACATTACCATATCTGTGCTCTTTTGACAATAACATTTGGACAATAATTTCTGTCAGGACACCCTGGACTTTATCAAAGTCCAGAGAAATGTGGTTTTTATTATTGCATTTCACAGGCAATTGAGAATGCCGGGGGGGGGGGGAGATAATAATTTGAGTTGAGTTTGAGCATCAACCTATTGTGAATTGCATGGCCCCACTTTATAAAGCATCTGAGCATGTATGGAATGCACCTCCCACATTGCTATACTCATCCAGCCTCAGCTGTAAATATTCTGGTGACTACTGTAAAGTGCTGCACAGTATTGGGGTGGCGGGGGGGTGTCACCCTTGAAGATGGTCCTGAGGCTCCAACTAGAGCAGAATGTGGCTGCCAGCCGAGGCAACCCATGTGACCACATGTCACAGGTCCTGAAAGCCCTGCACTGGCTGCCAGCCAGCTCCTCTGCCATTCATGGTATTAGTACTAGCATAGAAACACCTTAATGACTCAGGAGGACTCAAGCACCTAAAAGAGCACCTTCTCCAGAATAAACCATCTCAGCCCTAAAATCATTCAGAGAGGCACAGTAGCCATTCACCCATCAGACAGTCTTCTCAGCTGCAGTTTCCCCATTTGTGGAATGCCCTCCTCAGTGAGGTGTGTCTGTTTTTCCCATTGTTAAATTTTGAGAGGAAGTTTAAAATATTCTTGTTGACTCGGGCATTTGATAGCTGAAAGTTTCTGTTTCTGGCATGGAAATTGATTGAAATTTTAAGCTGGGAGAGTGCATTATTATTTTACATGTCTTTTAGATTATTTAAATTGTTTTAAAATCATTTTTAGATTATTTAAATTGTTTTGAAACAATTTTTATTGTTTTATCACTGATGCATTTGCTGCCTTGAGCTCCTTTGGGAGGAAGGGCAGCATAGAATTCTAATAAATAAATACTTGTAAGGTGAAGGAGCAAGAATTCAGGATTTGAGGGTAGAGCTGCCAGGCAGTCTGAGCCCCAGGACCTCTCTTTTTCATTAGAAAAAAAGTCAGTTTATTTTTAGTAAGGTCAGAATAATAAATTTCCACATCAAAACAAAACAAAATGTTAAAGTACATTCAATGCAAGAACTATACATGAGTAGGCAGACATAGTCACGATGACCTTCCTCTGTTAAAGATCACCATAACAACATGCTACATTTGATTTAACAACATTAACTTTGATCATTGCTGCAGCTGATGCAAACTGAGTAACTTTTATGGGGTTACAAATTTGCCAATACTGTTTAAAGGAGATTCAGTTTTCTAAAGAAACTAAACATTAGAAACCTGATTCAGCACAGAAGCAACTAGTTCCCCCACAATTTTTGTTTTTATCTGTAAACCACCCTGAGTCCCATCAGGGAAAAAGGTGGAGTATAAATATAGTTGTTACTGTTTTTATTATTATTATTATTATTAATAATAATAATAAGTCCATTGTTTGCATGACCTGCCAGTGCACTGCTTTAAATGCTTTTCTTAACTCGTATAGATTAACAAAACAAAAAACAAAAACCCAGCCTCACAGCCAAAGCAGTCTGTCTGATCAACTTATACCTTGGCGATAAGTGCAATGTTCACACTACCAACAGATTTGATTGAACATTAGTGTACCCAAGTTTGCTTTTGGACTGGTATTTTACAGAAGAGAACCCCTGCACCTTCAGATATATAATTATTATTGTTGTTGTTGTTTCTATAGAAGAAGCACAATTCTCCATTTTTGCAGATGCAGAGGTCTCACTCCACTAACATCAGAATCTGCCTTGTACTGAGTCAGACCACTGGTCCATCTAATGCAGTGTTGTCTGCATCAGGGACAGTCAACACCATGCTCCCTGGATGTTGTTGAGCTTCATCTCCTTTCCCCTCTGGCCATTGGCTGTGCTGGCTGCAGCTGATGGAAGCTGTAGTCCAGCAATATTTGGAGAACAGCACACTTGCTACCCCTGGTCTCCATCAGCTGCAGTGGCTCTGTGGGATTTCAGGTTGGAGTCTTTCTGAGCCTTAACTGGAGATGCCAGGGATCAAAGCTGGGAGGTTTTGCAAGCATGTTCTCTTGCATTGAGGCACAGCATTTCTGCTATTGCTTTGGCTCAAAAAAGTGCAGGATCCCTTGCTTCTCTCACATGTTTCTGTGCTGTAAGAAATGCCACAGTCCACTAAAAGGAGACGAGCACTTTATGTAAGTGTACCTTTGAAAAACACGGGTAAAATCAGCAAGAACATTTGACAGAAGAGCTGCCTTGCAGGTCTAGTAGTCATGTCCATTTAGCACAACATCATCCCATCAGTACTCATGCCCATTTTTAACCAAACTATTCCCAGAGGAGATAATTTTCACAGCTAGGTTCAATGCTTTGCTATCAGCAGTTATGAGATCGATTTACTAGACTGCCGTGGAACTGAGATTTCTTACAAAAGAAGTTCAGTTGAAGAGTTAGACCATGTTCTCCTGAACTGCAATTTTTATAGGGATTTAAGTTTCCCCTTTTTATCTCCCCAGTATTTTCTCTCTACTTGAAGAACTCAGCTGAATTCTGTATCTTAATTTTAATGGCAAACTCCAACCCTGAGATCACAGAAAAATAGGTTACAATTATTAAAGAGATTTCTGAATCAAAATTGTCTGAATATTTATTTCTGATTGTTCACTGGTTCTGTTATACTCTCATTCTAAAGGGAAAAAATTGCCCTCCCTCTCACTAGGGGTGCCTTGATAACTGTGCACTGTATTCGAGGTTTATGGATTGTTGACCAAGTAAACTGAAATAGTCATTGCTTAACAGAACTGATTATGAAATAAAATATCATACAATTGACTCTGAGCTTGCACTGAGCACACTGTCACCATCAGAGGAATGTCTAAACTGTACAACTTAGGGTGGTACTTCCACACCACTACCAAGACATGCATGCTGCAGCTCTGTACCTTGTGGCCATATAAACTCATTGTAACCATGGGATTTAGGAGAGGGTAGGGAACACTGGTAAGCAAACACAGTTGACCAGGACTGGGGAACCTCTGGGCTTCCAGATGTTGTTGGACTTCAACTCCCATTAGCTGCAGGCAGCATGGCTGGTGGTGAGAGATGATGGAGTCCAGCTACCACCTGAGTGCCACAGTTCCCCCATAGACCACACAACAGACTATTTACAAAAGCATGCCAACTTTTAGAGACAGCTTCTATCCACTTTATCTGCACATTTTGCTCCATTTTAGCCAATGCATCGTGCCTCCTTTGACACAACTTTGCTATGCCTTGTTCCCTTGGTTTGAAACTTGCATTGTGGATGGCCCCCAGCATTTTAACACTCTCTCCAGCATCTAGCATCCGAGAGTGCAAATGCTGATACCAGGAACAGCTGTATCCCAATGCAGGCTATAGCAGACCCTACCAATATTCTCTTTAGTGTAAGAGCTTGTTGCCCTGGATTGAAAACTAGCTAAAGATCAGTTGATCATCTTGAATAGTACCTACAAAAGGAACAAAGGCAGAGTGAGCCTTATTCCCAAGTAAGGGAATCTAGGATTGCCAAGTTAGAAAAGTTCCCTTTACACATTATATGTGTGAAGAGGGCTCTATGCACTGAAAGAGCCTTGCTGCTCGCTCTGCTCTGTTATTGGGTGTGGTACACTGACCTCAACCCCAAAGTCCACATATCAAGACCTATGAATGTAGAGCTTTGCGTAAGCTGGAACCCTGAACAAGTGGAAAACCAGTTGCGTGGAAGCCTCCCAGCACACAGAGTTATCCCACAGTCAACATATGTGACGTTTATAACCAACTGATGTCATGACCCATGTAGAATAATAGAACTGAAAAGGACTGAGCAGCAATCTATCGAACTTAGGCCCATTGCTCAACATTTCATAACTGCAGTCTAAACCAGTGACTTAGATGTGTGAACTGAACCATCAGAGTCAAAAACTACAGAGATAACTTCTGAATTATCTCACTTCATTTTGCACACAATTCCTTTTCACTGAAATCAATTCATACTTCCAGCTTTGCATTCTCAGGTGATGGGAAATCAAGGGGCATAGCTGAATGTGTGCGCTGGCTCTTGGAAACATCCAAACCTTGTGCTGCTCCAGCAGCTGCTATTCCTACTGGTGTTTCAGTGCCACCCTGCACTCATAAGCCCCACAGCTCTAGCATGTAGGATGGTGTAGAGAGATGACTGACAAATCCAGTTTTCTGCATATTTATATTTTCTTTGCTTGATTTGTCCAAGACCATAGTAAATATTCTGACAGTTTATCTAAACCTAGCTCTTTGATTTCACAGACTGATGTATAAGAAAATAATATTTATGGAAAGTTACATTGGATTGCATTCAGTGACATTTCATATACTGCAAAGTACATTGTAAACACGTGTGTGTGTGTGTGTGTGTGTGTGTACACATACACACACACAAACAGAGAGAGAGAGAAAAAACAGGAAACATCTAGGGCTGTAAATACAAAAAAAGGGAGATGTGTATCTCAGAGATGCTGGAAAGGCTGAATGTTCACTATTATGGTAGCCCAACATGTTTCTGCTCAAGAGAACCTATAAAGAAACAGATGAGCCAGCCCCTGAAGCGGCTCCCTTGAACTTAAACATGTTGAGCTAACACAATAACAAACTTTCATCCTTTCGAGCATCTCTGAGATACATATTTCCCCTTTTTAATGTATACATATCCACATACATAGTGTGTAGGTAGGTAGGCATCTAGGTTCCATAAAATAACAGATAAATATTATGAAAATATAGAGTTTTTATTTGCAGACATATAAACACTTTTGGTACAGTACAGACATATTGTCAGAACTCAAGAAAAGTGTCAGTTCTAAGCAGAGCACTCATTTGCCTTGTTTTACACAGCTAGATTTGATGGAGACATCTGGCATGAAAGTTTTGCAGCTTTTGCAATCATTGTTAAAGGTGTGCATTGCTGATAACCCCTCTGCTGTGTAGCTGCAGAGACAGGCAGGTGTCATTTCTGGGAAGATATGTCACTGGCTTTAGGAAGGAAAGTTATGGGCATGATCGAAAAGACTAAGCTAATGAAAAGGAAGGGAGCCAAGAGTCAGTAATTAGCTGCTGTTCTCTCACACAAAATACCCATTGAGAGAATAGCAAGAGCCCAAATTTAAAAAAACCAAAGGTTCATATGACCAATAATTTTTGTTTCAATATGAGATATCTAATTCAGAAACATTGCTTTTTTAAAAAAGAAGAGAAAAATTATACAACCAAAGTGATGGAATACTACTGATAGATCATTGAAACTACAAAGCATTATTAACAACAACTAGGGATCACTAGATCAACAGCAACAACAACAACAACAAAATTAGTTGGGGTGGTGGTAGATGGAACTATAATATTCTGAAATGGAGGGATATTGATCGTGGGCCCCAGTCCAGAGATATTTGCAGGCAGTGGGAACTGCACACAAAGATCTCTCCTGCCTCTGACACCGTTATTCACCTATTTGGAGCAAGAGGGGTGTCTGGAATCAGCAGTTTAGTAGTGAGTGGATGAGCGGAATGTAGAATTTCTCCCTGTCACATCTTTTTGTATTTAAGGTTCAGGGCCCATAAGGACAATGCATGCATGGAAACCATTTTCCACATGCAGATAGTCTTGATGGAGTCGGCATGGTGGTTATCAGGCTCTCTTACTCTCACGTAATAGAAATTAATCCTTAGAATTAACTGGCATTTCACTGTTCCTGCACTTTGCTGCACTTAGTCTACAGCCTTGTGCACTCTTACTTGAGGAGAAAGCCTCATTTAGCTCAGGTAACTATGCATAGGAACAGGCTGTTGTACTTTAGATTCTAGTGGCAGGTACTCAAACCTCTTGAAGGCTTGGGGAAATCTTGCACAGAGGCATCCCAAAAGTTTCAAGAAGTGTTATGTCAGGGAAATTGGCAACAGAAACCCTTTTTTGCCCTGTGTACACCAGGACTCATTTGCATCCCAGATGGCATATTTCTTTTATTTGTTCCAAGAGATACTGATCAAAATATTGCTGAAGCAATTTATAATGTTTGTTCTCCATATTGAGGTGAAAGTGAACATCTAATTTCTGTCCATAACCTCACAAGGGGATAATGGGTACCCTCAAGAAATTGCACTTCTTGTTAATGCCATTCCTATATAGAGGGAGATTTATATATTTAAACATCTGAGGTAATAAAACATTCTGTTTGATTTACCAGTGCATATTTTCTTGTCAACTTCTTGTATATACAATAGAGCATATAATTATTATACCTCAAACCCATACTTTTATTTTGTTTATTTTTCCCCTTTAGAAAAACAATGTTTTAAAATATACTTTTCATTTTCTTTTAAACAGACTCATTTACAGGAATGGCAGATGTTGCCCTCTTGTGGTAAAAAATGACTTAGGAATGAAAAAGAATTTAACAATGAATTTGTCATTGTCTTACCTTTCACTTTATGAATACTGACTTAATTTATGGGTGGGTCTTGTGATGACCAAGTCTACACAGACAAGTTATGAGCTGTTAGCACTATGGTTTCATAAAAAAGCTGTAAAATGAATTTGATTTTCTTTTTCTTTTCACTGAAAAAAAGCTGTAGACAGCTACAGTATTTACAATTATAATAAGTTATAAATCAGTAGTCCTTCATTGTAGCTACTGCTGACAATCCTGTATCTGGGAACTTTATCACTTTTCAGAATTATTAGGTTTTGGTTGAGATTATCCATTTGAAGCCATCAGATATTGGAAATTTCCACAGGCCTTTTCTCCAGCATATGAAGATCAATTCTTCCATTTAATGGGATTTGTACTTCCAAAGTTTCGTCTCCTCTGTGGTACTTTCTTCCTCTCCTTAGGCAGATGTAAATACCCATTCCAGTTACCAATGTTATTGAACACAAGCTTATTACTGACAGGACCACTAAGGTAGGCATACAAGATGCTGATTCTACTCTTTTGTGTGTGGGTTCTATAGAGATTTGTGGTTCTTTTTCCTCGACGTTAATATCAGGTTCCTTTCTTAAAAGGCTTTCAATGTAGCTCTCGTTGCTCACAGTGTCATTGACAAAGAGGTTCACCATAACTGTGGAATGCAGAGGTTCTGGGTAACCATGATCACTAACCTTAACAAGAAGCCGATAAAGGCCATAGTCGTTTTGCATTAGTGACTCCTCCAGAGTGATGTTGCCTGTCTTGGGGTCAATCTTAAAGGAGTCTGGACGGGGACCTCTTCTCCCTATGATGCTGTATGCTATGACTGCATTCATGCCGGTATCATTATCTACAGCATAAACTTCTGTGATAGGAGATCCAGGTAGAGTAGAAGGGAGGACTAGGAGGTAAGACATGTTGGACTGCGGAAACAAGACCAAGGGTGGGTTATCATTGATGTCCAGCAAAAGGACAGTTATTTTTGCAGTCGAGGACAAGGCAGGATCACCTCCATCGACTGCTTCAACCCATAAGATGTATGAGCTCTGCTGTTCCCTGTCTAGAGAGACCTTAGCTCTTAGCACTCCTTTGCCGGTGTCTATAACAAAGATGTCACTTCCATTTACAACAGAAAGTGCTACCCAGCCATTTTGCCCTATATCTGCATCCGTGACACTTATAACTCCAATTTCCCCAAGGCCTGGAAAATTCTCTGGCACAAAAAAACTAAAATCCTTGTTGATAAATCTTGGACTGTTGTCATTTTTATCCAGTACAGAGATGGTAACTGTGGCTATTGATTCTCGGGCTGGCACTCCAGAATCTACTGCTTTAACTGTGTAGCGGTATTTTTCTCTCTCTTCTCTGTCCAGCTGGGTAGAAACTGTCAAAACTCCTGTGACTTTATCTAAAGCAAAATATGAAGGGGCTTCAGGCCCTAGGAAATAAGACACTTGCCCTCTTTCTCCACTGTCAGCATCTGTTGCATGTAGCTTGGTCAAAAAAGCATTGGGGACATTATTTTCTTCAATTGATAATTCTATCAGTGTTTGAGAAAAAACAGGTGAATTGTCATTATCATCCAGAACCTGCACTTTCACTATTTTATTGACATGGAATCCTTCAGTATTCCATGCGATCACTGATACTTCATAGAACTGTTGAGCCTCATAATCCAATGGTTTTGTAGTCTCCAGCAAGTACTCATTGTGATATGGTTTGTATGGTGACAACCTGAATGGGCCGTCACCATCCAAATAGCAATCCACTTTGTATTTTTCGTCTGGATCTTTTATGGTAAAAAATGCTATCGGTGTGTTAACAGGCTCTAATTCCCTCAGGTAAACCACCCCTTCTACTTCATTAGCTATAAAACGAGGAATCACTTCGGGAGGTCTCATTGTGACTTTGATGATGGATATTAACACAGTGATCACTGCAGGGATACAACCGGGACCGTTGGCTAATACGCTCAACCGATGGAGACGAGGAGTGTCACCATTAATCCTCTTGGAGAGCTTGATAACACCTGTGCTTTCATCAAGGTAAAACAAAGTGCGGGATGACTGAGAAACCTTCTGGCTGTAGGAATATGCGATCTCTGCATTGATTCCCTGATCCACATCCACAGCATGGACAGAGGCTATGGGCAACCCAATACTAGAATTCCCAAAAACTGTGACATTGATCTGGGTCTCATTGAACTGTGGGCAGTTGTCGTTGATGTCACTGATGCCAATAGTGAGGGTGGCACTGCCCACCAGTGGAGGGACTCCTCCATCCTCTGCAGTTATGAGGGTAATATATTTGTCTCTGGCCTCTCTGTCCAAGGCACCCATGACAATCAGGTAAGGCGTTCTTTCCCCACTTTCATTTTCCTCCACATCCAATGTAAAAACCCCAAAGTCATCTTGCAGGTGGTATGTCTGGACCCCGTTGCTCCCCATGTCTGGGTCAACTGCCGGATGCTCTATAGCTAAACGGGTGTTGACTGGTGAGTTCTCAGGCACAAAGAGGTGGATCTGTGGCATGGGAAAGCACGGGGCATTGTCATTGACATCGTGGATGGCAATCTTCACCTTGACAAGGCGGAAATACTCCTGAGGCAACACCATAACATCCAGCAACAGCAAGCACGACTCAGAAGATGGTACTGGGGAGGAGGAGGAGGAGGCAACCACACTAGAGCCAACATTATCCTCTGTGCATAGCGCCTCCCGGTCAATCTCCTTTGCGGAGGTGCTCAGTTCTCCAGTCTGGTTGTCTAGGTTCACATACTGACCTCCTAATCCCTGGGAGGCAAGGCTGAAGGAGAGAGGGGTTTTCCCCCATTGCTGAGGCTGCTGCTTCCCCTCTACTGTGGCCTCTCCCTCTCCCTCTGATGTTGCCTGGACCTGTAAATCCTGGGCTAGATTCCCGATCAGGAACCCGGAGGGCAGCCCTTCATTGATGCTGTAGAAAAGTTCAGTGGCACGACTATAGCTTGCAAAGCAGTTGAAAGGTCCAAGGAAGAGCAGGAAAATGAATAAGTTCTGAGGAAAGAGATGCACGTGAGGTTAGCGAATGGCATGTCCATCTGAGAGCATCACTTTAATCACCCCCTCTCCATTTTGTCCCCCAAAAGAGGTCTTTCTGTGCAAGACCTTGCATTGGACCATTATCTTCAGAATTCCTACCGAATTCACAATCCAGCCTACACAAATCCACCATCTGAGTACATCCTCCTGAAAAATTTCCACCTGCCTCATATTTTTGACCTCTACACCCTCCCAATACTTAGTGCCAGTCTTCAGTCTAAATAGATCACCATCTCCTTCTGTTGCACACAACCACCAGCCCTCAAACATGAAGTCCCCAAACTCACCATCAATAAATGAAGAGTTGTCATCCCGTTTACCCTTAACTATTAGTTTCCTCAATAAAACAGTCATAAAGAATTCGTTAAAAAGAAGCAGTATATATATATGCTCAAAACCACATATGTTTGTGCCTATAAATCCCCATGCTGCAGTCTAGATCACTATACAATGCCATAAAGGGTGGGAGAAACAGAAGCATATTTAAACTTCATCTTCAGTTTCCTCACTATCTCAAATGTATTAGCATTTTTGTCAAGCCATAAACAGATTGTGAGTGAAAACAAAACAGTGGGCAGCCATCTAGGAACAAAAGCATAAACCATCGTTCTCTGCATAAAATGCATCACTGTTTAATTTTGTATTTTTCACTTCCATATATATATATAGAAGTGAAAAATACAATATACTGTATATATATAAAAACATTGCTTTTGATTATGCAAGACTGCAGGTACCATCCTCTCTTCTTCAGATTAGTAATAGAGTTGGCTCCGTTTGTCCAGCCGATCTAGGAACGGCTGTCCTTTGCCAGATATGGTCATCTAAGATGCCTTTGCCACAAATTAACCCTTTCACCTTCCCTGCTGGGAGATGACACAAAACCATATGCAGCCACAGCTCATCGCAGCTTACGGTGCACTGACAGAAATGTTAGCCACTGCTGCTTTGACTTCATGGGTCCTTGCCCTGAAGTTAAACAAACATGTCTTCAACCCAAAGAACAATTTCTTGAGAATAAGATCCACTGAAATAAGCAAGTATGTGTGACTAGGAATGGCCACACATGTGCATCCTCCTTGCTCCCTTTTAAAGCCACAATACTGGAAGAATTTTGTCACACATGGTCCCTTTCATTCTCTGTTAGAACTATCACACTTCTTGGAGCTAGCGGACCTTAATTTGAGGACTGGGTGAAGGGGGGGGGAATCCTTTTCTGAGTTCCTTTGAGCACACACAGTGGTCCTCCCGGCCTCATCTGCTTTTTCTCACGCACAGCTCTGACTGTATGCCCGCTGACTCTCAAGAAGGGCTCGCTGAGGGTCTTTACCCAGTGCGCACACACTTCTAAGTAAATCAGCATAATAGGATCCTGCTGCATCACCACCTCCCAAATAAATGCACAGGATTGCAGCCTTGAGCTATTGTTATCAATCCTCCTCACCATCGTGACTTACTGTGGATAGCTACAGGATCGCGCCGTTAAAAGACAGCTACAGAACTAGCAGCCAGGCAAGGCTGAAACTGTTGCTTCTGCCGCCTCTCTTTTTACACCTGCTCCAGCGCCTCCCACCCCGTTTTACCACCATTTCTACACTCCCAAAGCGCTACATTTGTCGAGCCGCTTCCCCACGGGCGAAGTTTCCTTGCTCGCTCCCGCCCAACTTCCTGGTCGAGAAGCTCGAAGCGTCCGATCTTGCGCACCTTTCCTCCAAAACGATCCCACCGAAGTGCAGACGGACGAGAAGGGCAGCCCCAGACCCCCTCCCCTGCCCCCCCCGCTCAGCGTACCGGCAGGTTCCTCTGCGTGGCGCTTGTGCTGCTCCCAGGGCTGGATCGCTGCCCCATAGCCAGCGGCCGGTGCCTCTTCGCCGGGAGCCAGCGGGATCCTAGGGCCGGGGGCGAGCTGCGCCGCCTCTCATTCCCTCGGCTGCTCATTCCAAATGCGGGCATGGAGGGTCCCCGCGCGGGGAAGGGAGGGCGGCGCGCCGGGGAGGGGAAGCCGCCAGAAGGGGGAGAGACGCGGCAGAGCCCCCTCCCTCCCTCCCTCCCCGGCTCCGGCGCGCATGCAAAGACCTCCCGCACTCCAGCCAATCGCCTCGCAGGGCGCTCACTTAACCCCTGGCGGGCGGCGGGCGCTCCGCTTCGCCTGCTGCCGCTCGAGGGGCGCCAGCGCCGCTTGCCAGCGCAGCCTCTGCCCGCCGCGCCGCGCTCCGCTCCGCAGCCGGGGCGCCCTTCTTCCGAGGCCGGCTGCACTCGCTCCAGAGCCGCCTCGGGAGTCTCCGGCTGCGGAGCGCGGGGCGGAGGCTTGAGCGGCTTCTCCTCCCTCCGCTTCTTTCTTCGAAGCTTTCCCGGCGGGAACCCAAGACGCGAAGAGGGGAGCCCCAAGGAAGGAGCGGGAGACGGGGCGATCTGCCGTCCCCGAGAGCCACCCGCTTGCCTTCGCGACTTCGGATGAAAGCAGCGCGCCAGAAGACGAGGTCCACGTGGGGATGCAGTCCTGGTCCAGCGAGAGGAGGCTTCGGGGTCCGGGCATCTGGGGCGGGGCCTCTTAATTCTTGGGGAGCCCTCGAAACGGGGGCGGGGGAGGGAAGAAGAGGAAGAAAGGAGCCCCGTTGCAGCCCAGGCATAGGAGCCAACTCCTAGGAGGCCCCCCCAATATCGTAAGGGGCTGCCCCCCAAAGTTGATGGGTGTTGCCCTAACCCTAACCCTAACCAAATAGTGTGGGTGTGCTGCTTCTTGCGATCGATTATGTGGGGTGGAGTTTGCCTGGCCACCCCCAGTATTTTATTCAAGTTGGTACCCGTGATCCCCTTCTTCGCTTGCCTTGCTAGCCCTGCTTGGTTGCTTTCCGACTCGTGCGCTCCAACCTGAGCGGGGCTGGGTCGCAGTTCCCTTGTTCAGCCCCGTATCTCAGGCATGGAGCAATTCCGTGGAACAGTTGTAGGGAAGAAGAAGGGGGTTTGTGCCATGGGCGTAGCCAAGGGGGCTGGGGGGGCAGTCCCCCCATCAGTACAAATCAATACAAATTCGAGGTTCTATCCCCTCTAAAAAGCCTGCGCCCCCCATATCATGGTTATGCCCCTGGTCTGTGCCCAAGCTGCCCTCGGAGAATGGGCTCCTCCCCTTTCGTATGCTTCACACTTGCACGTCTGAGGTTTAGCTGCCCATGAAAAATGCACCTTCCAAGCGCACTGGGACACGTGTTTGTTAAAATTAATTTATTTATCACATTTATTTCCTGCCTTTCCTCCCAAAGGAGCCCAGGGAGGTTGATTATACAGAGCCAAACTTAAATGTCGTCTGTCCCAATCGTATCTGAAGTGGGGTATGAGTCTGACACAGTGCCGGATTTACATATAAGCTAAAAAAAGCTATAGCTTAGGGCCTCTCTCTCTTGGGGGCCCCCAAAAAAATTTGAAGGCAAAAAAAGCTGGATGCACATTTCCAAAATATGAGATAAAAAACAAATAAAATAAAATCTACCTACAGCAACATTATGTATTAATAATTATTTGACAATTAATATACTTCTTAATTGTATTTCAGTTCAACAATTACTTTGATAAAATACATATTTTGTTATGTGCAAATGGTTTTAGATACCTATTAGATCCATAAATTACCATACAGCATATATTCAACACAAAAAACAGCTACAATTTGTTGTTAGCAAAGGACAGCTGGACATATAAAGGGCCCCATTACCTTCAGGAGCTTAGGGCCTCATCAAACCTAAATCTGGACCTGGTCTGACATATATTGAATGATCAGACAAGACACATATTGAATAATCAGGCAGACACATATGGAAAGATGCCACCATGTATAGGCCACGCATATCTGAAAGCCAGATTGGCTATAGCACTCTGAGTGTATGCTTGGAGAGGAACCCAGGTTTTCTACCATGCACCAGGGGTGCAAGGGGCTTCAGCCCACTAAGTATTTTGAAGCATGGGGCTCAGCCCCCCCCCCAATATTGAGGGGGCTGACATCCCCTGCTGCCTCCGGGCACCCCCTGCACGCCCCAGCCCCCATCCGGAAGCCAGGAGGGGGCTGGGATGAGCGAGGGCAAAGATCGACCTCCGCGTGTCCCACCCGGGCCCAGTGCACGCCATGGGGAGAAGGAGGTGGAGCACGGCAGCTGGGCTCTGCTCTCTGTCTCCTCCTCCCTGCCTGATGTCGCATGCGGAGAAGGAGGCCAAGCATGGAGCAGCTCCGCTCTCCCCATTTCTCAGCGTGCAAGCGCCAGCGGTGGGACATGTCACGTGACATCACATGATGTGTCACATGATGCGGCCCCCCCTAATGTGGGGGGCAAGTAGGCGCCCCTGCTACCATGTAGCCCTAAGTGACCACAACGTGTTCACACATATCTGGGATTGAAGGGACAACCTTGAATTTGAGTAGGGGTCTTATAGTACCAACACATTGTAAATTTTGAAGTGAATGGGTCTCATCATGACAGCTTCCAATGTCCTCAAGGAGAGACTCAACATGTAGGCTGCCATGCTGATGTTCATTCTCTCTCTCGCAAACACATACACAGAGAGAGAGAGAGATGGCAAAACATAGCATAATATCCAATTTATTAAGATCAGCATGACATGCTTAGTTTTCTGGAAGTAAACTCAATTTAACTCAGTATTGCTTCTGACTGCATAGGTTCAGCTTGTAAAATACACTGAGCTTTAACAAAAGACCTTCAGGCACCTGAAGTATAATCTGTGGTTCTTAATTAGAAATGCAAACCATTTTGCAAAAAAAAAGTGTTACTAGTATGAGGTGGGAACCGCATCAGAGAAAAGGAAATAAGTTTCCTGTTTCTGTTTGCTTGTATTTCACATTCTTCAACTTATTTTATGTTAACCTGTAGCAAACGTGACATGAAGGCTGGCATCCTCAGCCCCACCATGTGGTCGTCCCTGGCAGACGACCGCAGTGCCTGGAGACAGACAGACAGGTCATGCAGTGACCAGAGGAGGAATGACTGTTGGGAGGAGTGCAGGGAGAAGAAATGCCATGGTACACCTCCATTAGGACAAATGGATGTCTTCATCTGCTCCTGCTGCAACAAAACATGTCTCTCCCATATCAGTTTCTACAGCCACAGCAGGCACTACAACCTTAGCAGTTTGACTTCACCACCAAAGATGTTTGCCTCCCTTGTCTCCTGAGACAGATGGATGCCAGCCAATCAGAAAGCAAACAAATTTGGAAGCCTCACTGTCACCTATTTCAAGGAGTGCCCACCAACAAGCAGACGCCATAATTACTCCTGCTCAGGGAAAAAGTCCAGAAGCCGTCATTTCCTTCCACAACACCAATGCTTTATCATTTCCCTCTCTCTTATTTTTGAAATGGAACAATTCTCCCACACCAATACATTGGTTAGTGGATTTGTTTCCAGCAACTTCACAGCAGCTGCCTGCTCCAATTAATGTTCAAGACTTAATGTAGCAAAAGATTAAAGCAAAATAGTTGTCGCTGTTCAAAACTAATGTACAGCCTGTTCCATAATCCAGTGAAGCTGAAGGGCTTGGCTTAACTTCAGTGATGGGCCTGAACTAGCTTTGGGCCAAGAATTTCACTTTAACCAGGTCAGTGTGGATCAGTTCCACTAAAGTTGGGCAACTGGATTCAGACAGCACTTAAAAGAGAGTTGCTTAATTTAATCTGGCTTGTTTTGTGGGTTGCATACATCTATGTGTGGTGCACTAGCACGTGTTGTTTATAGGCTACAACTACAAAGTGCATTTGTCCAGGCAGAACCTCATATGCCTCTGGTGAGCATAACAATAATCTTTTTGGATCAGACCAAAGCGCACACCGAAGTCAGTGCTCTGTTCCCAGCAGCGGGGAAACACCAAGCAGGGCACAAAGGCAAAAGCTTTCTCTTGGTGATTATTTCCAGAAGTTGGTGTCCCGAGGTATACTATTCCCTTTAGGTTCCATAGAACTATTATGGCTGTTATCACTGTGGGTGGCTCCATCCTCCGTGAAATTGTACAATATCCACAATATCATTAAAGTTAGTGGGTGCCACTACATCTTATAGTAGGAAGCCCCATAGATTACAGTGGTACCTTGGGTTACATACGCTTCAGGTTACATACGCTTCATGTTACAGACTCCGCTGACCCAGAAATATTACCTTGGGTTAAGAACTTTGCTTCAGGATGAGAACAGAAATCGTGCTTTGGCGGCACGGCGGCAGCAGGAGGCCCCATTAGCTAAAGTGGTGCTTCAGGTTAAGAACAGTTTCAGGTTAAGAACGGACCTCCGGAACGAATTAAGTTCTTAACCCGAGGTACCACTGTAGCTGTATCTTGTTTGAATTTGTTGGCAATTAGTTTGATTTGGTGACCCTGAGCTGTCCTCTTATGAGAGGGGGAAATTATGCGTGGATGAGCAAAGCTAAATCTAAATCTGCTTGAGATTCCTACACCAGACCAGCTCAGTTGCTGGTGTGGCCATTCTGCAAATATCCAGAGAAGTGTTTACAGCACACTTTGCCTGCGTAGAGCAATAATTTAATGAAACAATAATACTTTGCAGTGCTTTTTGAATGTTCAAGCATTTCTCAGTAATTTCCATCCCAAGAATGAATTCCAAAGCTTTATTGCAGAACATTCTTAAATCTAGGTACAATAACAAAAGACAAAGTAACATATTGTACTAAGGTAGGACACCCTGAAAATCATTGAGCTTTTTTTTAGGAAACCACCACTGAGCTTTTTTTGTTGAGCCAAAAAGACACAATTTTTTAATTGACTTTCCTAAAACATTTCAGAAATTTCCCACAGATGTCATTTCTGCCTTTGACATCCCGGTACTGTCTGGGACATATGACAGCCCTAACTAAGGAGTGTGGTTCAATCCGTTGTGCAGTTCAGTAAACTTTATTCTCTCAGGTCTCAGAGAGAGCTCGGTTTCTGGGTGCTAAGTCATCAGGTGGTTTAGTTCACTGAAATGGAAAAACACCAACCTTCCACTTTCATCCAGAGTGGAACCTATTGCTGAAGGGAAATTGACCTTTACAGCATTAACATACATACAAGGCTCTCAAACACAGCTTTTTATGTACATTAAACTTAGAACTTTAACAGCTCTATGTGAAACACAAAGTACCTTCAAACTACTTAGCTTTTTCTTGCTATCTCGAATTAGTGGGAGCAGAAGATGCAAGTGTAGTTTTGTGATTTAATAGTACTTGTAGGATACGTATCCTTGGAAATGGATGGCACCTTTTCCTGCAGGACATTCTGAAGTCAGCTCTGCAGTTTGCACAATCCTGCACTGATCCCCATGACTGCCTTGTCAGTTATATAGATGAAGGAAGGGGAAGAGAAGACTCAAGTCTCTGGCACACTGAATGCAGATACCAGATGATCAGCATGAGTACATCTGAACAGACTCAGTCCATTTCAAATGAGCTTCACATAAAATGCCTTGCCATTGCCATCGCCGTGGGATGCTGCTTGTACATCTGGTACAGTACTGAATCCAGAGTGGGAAGCTTTCATGTGAACAATCAGAGATTTCTCATTTTGTGTTGACTTTGGTAATGTAAACTGCAAGTTCATCTCAGGGCAAGGAAAAAGGAAGAGACACATCTTGGTGGAGCATTCCTATGGGTTATGCCCACTTCTATAACCTTATCCCCAAAGTCACAGGGAGAAGTACTTCCCACTTCCCCAATGGAACACTTCCCACTTACGTATATATGAAATTATGTTATGATCTTCAGGCCTGTGTTACTCATGTAAATGCTCAAATGTGCACAGGTGACCTAGGAATATTCATATGCTTTCTCTCATGCACGTCAACTTTCTGCCTTATTTCTCATACATTTGGATATTGTCTCCTGTGCAGTAAACCTGGATGGCAGCTAACATTACTGAGGGAACTATCCAGCGAGATCTGCTATGCCTAGGGGCTACCTATTAATGCCACCAACTGATCAAGAAGGACCAGCATTTATTGATCTGTGACGTGCCACAAGATTCTGTTGCTGGTGCCTTGATTGGCAGACCTATTTTTTTCTAGGGCACCATTTGTCTTTCTTCCACAAGAAGACATCTGCTATTTTTGCTGCTTCTTGTTTCCTCTTCCCTTCTCTGGGCCTTTCTGGTGAACCTTTTGTAGTGCTGGTGTTTAGCTGATTCAGGGCTCCAAATGTCTTTCTTCAAGGAACTGCTTCTGTTTTGGAATATAACTTTTTTTCAGCCACTGAGGTAAAGGTAAAGGACCCCTGGATGGTTAAGTCCAGTCGAAATTGACTATGGGGTGCAGCTCTCAACTTTGCTTTCAGGCCAAGGGAGCCAGCGTTCATCTGCAGACAGCTTTCCTTGTCATTTGGTCAGCATGACTAAACCGCTTCTGATGCAACGGAACACCATGATGGAAGCCAGAGTGCACAGAAACACCATTTACCTTACCTCTGCTGTGGAACCTGTTTATCTACTTGCACTGGTATGCTTTCGAACTGCTTGGATGGCAGAAGCTGGGACAGAGCAATGAGAGCTCACCTCATCATGCAGATTCAAACCACCGACCTTTCGATCAGCAAGCCCAAGAAGCTTAGTGGTTTAGACCACAGCACCACCTGCATCCCATCAATTCACTTCAGCCACTGAAGTTTTTTTGTTTGTTTTTTGCAGTGCAAATGCAATTCCCCTTGATACCCGCTACACCCCCCACAGTTTGTTAACATAGATATTGCTTTGTCCTACAAATGCCACAGATGCTTATTCAGTTAATGCTGTAACATCACTGGTGGCAAAGAAGTTTGCTTTACCACAGCTATAAACAAAGAAAGTAAAGATGGCAGCATATTTTCCTAAACAAAATAAAAACAACAATTAAACACTAACAAATATATTGTGGCAGAAGCTTTTGTATATTACTGTCCACTTTGTCAGATACATAACGTATTGTCCTAAGTTAGGGTAGGGTGGATGGGTAGTAAACGAATGAGGTCAGAGGGAAATGAAATGCTGAAAAATACAGACATTGATAATTATGTGTTGAATGTTTGTGACCAATAACCTGTTGGGTTACTTTGTGCGGTGAGAAGTTCAGCAAAGCTATTAAACTTCCCACAGTGGACAAAGTGTATCAGAGGTTGTTTTATTTAGTAAACACAAAACACACTATACACACAATATACACAGTTGCTTCAAGAGCCCAGAGAGGGTTTCTAGCTTTCCAAGTCCTTGCAAATCCAAAGTCACTTCAATCTTCTGTTTCTTTCTAGTTTTACCCCCAGCAATCCTTCTCCACAATTCTCCACAACAGAATGCTGTAATTGGAGCTTCAGATATAGGCTAACACTACATGCCAACCTGCACAGAAACAGAGATAAGATGCTCGTGAGTGCTCTGCATCTACATCCTGGGAAAAAAACATGTTATACTAAAATATGGAGAATTAAAGCAATATTGAACATTCCCTACCTAAGTGGTGATAACATAGACATCCTGGCATTGATAAGCCAATTAAAACTTACAATGTGCTGAAAAATACTTTGCCTTGCATCAATCCACATAAGTTGCTTGGGGTGTATTTTTTATTTTATACATTTATACTCCAGTTTATAATAATTTATGACTAAAAACATAAAGCAAAAAATGAAATAAGATGTCTAAAAATAAAAGCAAAAATCACAGCTAAAACATTTATCAAATTATGCTTCCAAGCACTAGCTTCTGTGGTGACAGTGGGAGAGACCAGTGTTTTCTGCCTAGAACTGGCATTAAAGAAGTGTAACACAGGTAAATGAATTAAATTATGGCTAAATGTATTTAAATTGACAAATGAGATCTGCAGAGGTGACTGCAGAAAGCTAACTCTTAAAGGCTCTGACAGGTGACCAGCCCTCATGTTACTCAGGTGAGCCTGCCCAGGGAGAGGGGTAGTCATTTTCACCACCTCTTCTTTTCAGGCACACCCTTCAAACCTGTGGGAGCCTCTTCCCTCTGGGTGCAGCCAGGTAGAGGTGGGCGTAACTGGAATAAAAAGGCTAGTCACATCATCATCTCTCTCTCTCTCTCTTACTCCGTTTTGCTCTCTTACTCTATTCATCTTGCTGCTGCATCTGTACAAAGATGTACTGTAGCTAGTTCTAGAGTCTGAAGTCAAAAGAGTCAGACTCCATTGTCTTATAAATATATACAATTGTACCTGTAACTGCAACCTTAGCCTGCCTCCAGATTGCTGCTGAATGTGAACTGTGAAGACTAGTTTTGTGCTGTTATTGTTTTAAGTGGGATAAGGGGGGGTGGGGTGGATGGCAAGAAGAATCCAGGCTGCACCGAGGAATCCTGGATTGCTTAATCAAAAAGGCTGTAACCACCTGAAACAACATCTGCCTGTTTGGTGCAAAGGGGTGTACTCTGCTGTGCTCACAAGTGTGTGTAAAGAAGGATAATACATACTAATATATCCTCTCTTACCTTCCATACACATCCCTAGGCCCCACCCTCTGGCATCAACATGACTTGCATGCCCTGTCTCCCTCTGACTTGGCCACAACTCCAGCCCCACCATTGGGCCAGGTAGTGGCATGGCTGTGTCCCTGGAGAGGAAAGCACATGAGCTGCACATCAGTAGGAGCCCAGTGGCAAGTGCTGATGATATGGGGTGACCAATGCTAGCTCACGGGGGCACAGTCTAATATGGGAGAAGAGTGACTTTTCCTTTCCTGATCCACCCACCTTGTGCACCTCTTCTTCAAATGGCGGCTTTCATTCTGGCCCTTTCTGATTCTATGCCAAATGATGACATTCTAGCTCTTCCTGTCTCTATGTCATAGAGCATGGGTAGGCAAACTAAGGCCCGGGGGCTGGATCCGGCCCAGTTGCCTTCTAAATCTGGCCTGCAGATGGTCCAGGAATCAGCATGTTTTTACATGAGTGGAATGTGTCCTTTTATTCAAAATGCATCTCTGGGTTATTTGAGGGGCATAGGAATCAGTTCATTTTTTTCTTCAAAATATAGTCTGGCCCCCCACAAGGTCTGAGGGACAGTGGTCCGGCCCCCTGCAGGAAAAGTTTGCTGACCCCTGTCATAGAGAATATGGACACCACGGGGATTGCAACTTCTGTTGCTGGTGGTGTGTGACAGTTGCAGCCCTCCCCCATGGCCAGTTGCCTTATCAATAGATGTAAACTAGCAGCAATCACCACAGGGGTTAACGGGACTGACATTTAAAAAATGTTTAATAATTATGTTGCTGTCCCATATAAATTAATGCTCAAAGCAACTGACAATGACAGTAAGACAAAAAATATAGTGGTGCAGTAAATAGGTATAAAAACCATAAGTATATCAAATGCATTTAACATATTTCATGAATCAGTTTTATATTCATGTTAGTCAGCTAAGAAATTACAGCATTCCAACAATTAAGTTTCCCTAACCATATAGAAAACAATTCCCTCCATTACTGAGAACAGTTATTACCACATGTAAGTAATTAACAAATCTTTCACATATACCCGTATCATTAAAATAGCTGCAGCAGAATATACATTAATATCAACATTTTACCATTTTAAGTGAGGCTTGAATTGTATACCCACATACTAGGGAGGATGCCTCACTAAATTCAATGGGTGTTACTTCTCTGCAGACATGCATGGTAAATCCATCAAAAACTATCAAAAATTTCTTGCTCGCACATGTCAATCAAGCTGGCATGTGTCAGACCTTACTCCAGTGAAGTAAAGAGCAGAGGAGAAGGAAGAATGTGATGGTAGCCTGCAGCCAGTAAGTCTCATTGCTCAGAGCTCGGAGGCAGCCAGAAACTTCCATTAGGCATCGTATAATCCAAACTCATTTGGCCTACTAGAAGCTGATTTTGGACAGAACTGAGTTGTGTGGGGGGTTGGGCAATATATTGATATATTGTCCAAAACCAGTTTGAAGTCCATATTGTGATATGAGTTTCATAATTTTTTACTTGGCAATATATCATGAATCATGATGTGTGTGTGTGTTATGCAAAAATCATGATGCAGGGGAAACTGTGAAACCAGCCAATGCCTCTACAGTACATAGTTCCATCCTGATTTCAGACATCATGATATATCAGTATATCGTGATGTTTATATGGTGATATATCACGATGCTGAAAACCAGATACTGCCCAGCCCTAGTTGTGTGTCACACAGAGGCTGAACCTGTACACTGGCCATCTGCAAAACATTACAAATATTGAAGAAGTTTGTTGTCTCTAACTATTGCTGTAAGATATAGCATGTGATCCAAGTAGACTGGACATTATGGGGTGGAAAGACTGAACTTGATTTGAACCAGTGAACCAGTGACTTAAACTGATCTTACATCCAGATACCCTGTTCTAACTGAGTGTGGACTGGGCTGTATATTTAGGTTTAAAGCCAATAAAATGCAATTAGCTGCAGACTGAACCTGACTATTAAACATCCCTAAAGTGTGTGTTTGATTGAAAGAGTATGTTTGACTTAACCTCGCACTAACGCTGAAAAGCCACATTAAAGCCAATCATAAACTTGTTATTTATTTTAGCCTGTAACATTGCATGCCAAACTTCCTCAGGTTTCATCTCAAGGAGGCAATAAGGCTTTTAAGGGTGATTCTTTTATGTAAAACCAGATACTTGTTCACATTTGTGAGATACCCTGAACTTTTAAACAGTAAGCATTCAGAAAGGTAACGGTCTTGCTCTCCATTTCTGGCCATTTGAAGCTACAGGAGTTTTACGTTTCTCATCTCACTGAAGAGGGATATTGGCTACCTTCTATTCAGTTTAGAATAATGAGTGCTGGTAGTTTGGGAACTCTGGAAATTTTTAGTGAATTACTTTTGTTTTACATTGATATTTTTTGTGTTCTAGGCAAAAAGGTTTGTCCAAGTTGCAGGGTGGAGAGTTCAAACCCCTCTCCATCTCTTCTTATTCTCCCACCCACTCCTTAGGCAGGAAAGACAGCCTGATTCATTGGGTGGCGTGGAGGTGGGCAGCTGTTGTGGTTAACTACCCGCTGAAGGAGGAGGAGAAGAAGAAGAAGAGTTTGGATTTGATATCCCACTTTATCACTACATGAAGGAGTCTCAAAGTGGCTAACAATCTCCTTTCCCTTCCTCCCTGACAACAAACACTCTGTGAGGTGAGTGGGGCTGAGAGACTGCAGAGAAGTGTGACTGGCCCAAGGTCACCCAGCAGCTGCATCTGGAGGAGCAGAGACGCGAACCTGGTTCCCCAGATTACAAGACTACCACTCTTAACCACTACACCACACTGGCTCTCTAGAGGAGGAGATAAGGAAGGGTTTCCCCTGGCAAGCCAGAATGTGCTCCTCTTTCCTACATGCCCCCCAACCAACTCCTGCTTTTACATATAGCTCCATCACTGGGTCACACATAATCTTGGAAACTGGCTTTGTATAGAGAGATTTGAGTTAAACTTCAGTTGACTTTAAAATGCCATCATTCTTTTCTCTCCCATGCCCCTTATCTTTGTCCTCTATACAAAAACAACTCATGTGCTCATGGGCATAGCCAGGATTTATTTGGGGTGTGTGTGTTACATTGAGGGGGCAGAACTGAGTTATCTGCAACACGGTCAGTTAGTTAAATATTTCTATTTATTTACTTGATGGGAGGCAGCTGCCCCCCCCGGCTACGCCCGTGCGTATGTTTCCTTTTCCCACTGTATCCTGTTTCGCTTGCTATTCCCCATACTTCAGACTGCTTTTTTCTTGGCTATCATTTGACTCCTGTTGATGTGTACTCATTTTTAAAATACATCTGTCTTTTTCTTTTTAAAAAGCGACAACCCTTGGTTCTTCTCCCTTGTATTCTAAAACAGATCTTCCGTCTTTACCTTTTGCATTTCCTTGTGTACCTAGACTTTTAGATTGTAATCCTGAGGGCAGTGGTTGAATCTTTTGCTTTACAGTAGGTGCAGCATTTAGTTACTGCAAGCACACAAGAAATAATGTTTAAAACAGTGCCAGGTTAAGAGGTTCTGCAATGGATTTTCTGTGAGTTAGAGGCTCATCCATGCTTTTGCTTGACCCACATTTTGATTTATTACCCCATGTTTCGCTGTTCCACAGCTGCACCATAGGTTTC